AGACGAGCGCCCTTCTGTCTCTCAGCTGGATTGCTAACTATCTGTGTGACCTTGGAAAAGTCAATTTACTGCTCAAGCCCCATTTTCCTTATCTATGAAATGAGAGGGTTAGACTAAGGCCAAGTAGAGCTCTGCAATGTGGAATATGGCTTCTGAAGCATTAGTTTTATGTTGTGATTCTTGCTTTGCAGATGTAAATATTTAGGAGTAAAAAGTATGCAGAACTTGGCAAAGCCAGACGTATATTTATGATTCTCGATGAATCAACTGATTTTTACCGCCTAGGCCTCCACAAGCCATTCTTTGTTCAACAGTTTTTGTTGTTACATTTAATTTTTTCTTCCACAAGTAAAAAACAAAAGATTTAGATGACGGCCATCATTAGCAAGTGACAATTCAGCAACAGAATATTAATTTTAAAACTGAAAAATAGCTGAACATGAAAGATTAAAAATTTTAAATAGACATAAATGCTCAGGCTTGTGACTTTATATACAGCGTAGTTATTTTGGTTCATTTATTGAGATTTATAAACATACACGTGGCTTTGCCAAGTTCTTTTTTATTTACAAATATTTTTGTCTGCAAAGCAAACGTCACAACCTTAAACCATCCCTTTGGAAGTAGTCATATGCCATATTCTAGAGCTACAGTTGACCTTAGTCTAAACTTCTCATTTCATAGAAGAAAGTGATTCATTTCTGTGTAATGGTGTTAAAAACATCAGTATTCCATGGTGTTCTACACTGAAGACCACAGTGGTCAGAGTCGCTGTTTCTTGAGCTTACTTGCAAAGCAGACTCAAAAGAACTGATTTTATCTTCATTTTCCTCATGAGAGAGCTGAAGCTTGGTTAATTGCCCAAGGTTATAGCTAGTTAATGGTACTCACAAGACTTAAACTCAGGCAGTATGATTCTAGACTCAATTAAAATATATTCCTTCCTAATTTGGATTTCTTGCCAAAATATCAGCTCTCTGAGAGGATGGAGTATATTTTGTATGGTCAGCCTTGAACAGGGCCTGGCACGGCAGAAGCAGGCGAGCCAGCCAGTGGGCCCTTGGACTGTGTTCTCCCCATCGTGATTCCAGGTGATAGGAGTCATTTTTTCCCTTCTGTGCACCGATGGCTAAGGATGTCCGGGCTTTTGGGAGTCCAGGCCTAGGAGAGAGGCTGTGAGAAGGAAGACAGTGATTCCTTCCTGGTAGTCCTGACTTTTCAGTTCCAGCTTTCTCTCTCAGGATGTTTACTGTTTAGCAATTGATTGGAAGGCACAGCGCTGAAGGAAAAATAAACCATTTCTTGTGAACTAATGATTCAACCTCTAAACTCTAAAACTGACAAACTTTTCAGTTCTCTACCCTCTTACTTTCCTGTCTGACTGTCTAAGTTTATGTGATTTAATTGTCTGGGAAACTTAGTATCCACCTACTCAGTAACCCTTGTGTCCCATTGGCCATTTGGCTTCCCTTGTTCTTTTGAATTTGGGAGCATTGTTGCCTCAGTTATGAAGGAGTTTTGGAAAAGGCAAGAAGGCAGGCTCAGAGCTGAAGAAATAATAAAGAATAATACTGTAATCATAACAACTCATTATTTGTTTTTAAGCTTGCTCTTTCAGAAGGTTATTATCTGGAGTTGAATACTAATGGATTCAGGCTCTGTTTATGCAGAGCAAATCTTAAACAACAGTGTTCAGGAGGGAAGGACATTAATCAGGAGAGAAGAGGGCCTTGTGCCTAATAATGTTTGCATAATAGCTACCCTTGAGTATACTGCTTGGCTTAAAAATAAATATTCATGTTTTCTGTCTCCAGTACAATTGGAAATTATTTGTGGTTATGATTCTTTTATATGCTCTTCTATCTGTTCATGGGGACTTTAAATTGGGAGGCTGTAGGAAACCAAAAGACATAAATAAAAATGCTTTTGAGTGAGTCTGAGGTAGCAATGGAAAGCCGCCGTAATGGGGGTAATCCGGAGCAATTGAGCTGAGAGCAGGTCGTAACTCTGTTTGCGGGAGGGAAGGGGATGAATCAAACTGGCATGTGTCAGGACATTTATACGATCCTCGACTTACTTTTAACGCCTCCATAGCTTCTCATTACTCTTGGGATGAAAATCCAGGTTCCTTTTCTTGACATAGCGTGCTCCCTGGAGCAGTCCCTTAGGAACTCTACAGTTATGACCTAAGACAACCCAGCCTCAGATGTGATAATGCAGAATTCTTCCCAGGGCGCCTCAGACAACATGACTCTTAACTTCCAAGTCCTTGTTCATATCTTCCCTTCACGTTTTAAGGATTTTCCAAATCTTCTTTGCTAATTAAATCCACTTATTGTGGAAGAGTCACCTTAAATTTCACCTCCTCCAACAATCCTTTGAACTCTGCAGCTAGCATAAGTTTTCCTCCAGCCTCTCATTAATTCATTCATTTGTTCATTCATTCATTTATTTTCAGGGCTCTTTCAATAGTATTTATCCTGGGGAATTTTTGTTATCATCCTGATTTCTTGCTTATATGCACCAAATTTTATTCACTGGTGCTTTAAATTAGCGAATTCACTTTTCTTTTCTCTCCCCTTTATTCTTTCTTTTTTCTAATTCTTTTAAACTTGAGAAATGTGCCAACATGGTCTTGAAAACGCAGGCTCTACATTGTTACAAACTTCTGCATGTAAGTTTCAAGGCTCTTCATTAGCTGCCTTCTCAGGCAACTTCCCTAACCTTATTTCTTTCCTAAATGGATACTCTACCTCGGTCAAGAGAACATCCTACAGTATAAAAGCCCAGACTGAGTCGTTCTCCCAGACCTGCAACTGCTCATACTTTCCCCTGCCTCTTCCTCCCTGTCCTCTGAGGTACAGGTGACATCTTGGGGTGAAGCACCAACCATCCCACTGGCTCCTTCATCCATGCCTCACTTCTGATGGGGCCTGTGAACAGAGAGGTGTCTGCTTGACTCCACCACCAACTTACCCTCATTGCTAGGCTCCTTCTGAAGTGTTTGTATGTCTCTTTCATGTACTTACGTATAGTCACTCTACCCCTTCTGTCAATATAACTTATCCTATTTATAAAGCACTTTTTTGGTTTCATCTTTACTACAGAGAGGTAAGCAGGGCAGCTGTTAACCTTATTTTACATAAGAAAATTGGTTCAAAAAGTTTGGATGACTTCTTAAATTTACATATCTAGTAAATTATAGAGATTGGAATTAGACTCCAATCCAGTGCCTTTTCCACAACACTACAAGCTTGATAACCTTTAGACTATTTTCTTCCATTTTCCGTAAGCCTCACAGAGCCTAGTAGAGCTTCTACAGGGCGACCTCCCAGAGGGCACTGGACAGAGGCTGGGGCTGGTCACAGGGACCTGCACTACGGTGCTGATGGGGCCACCGTTGGCTCTGTGCCCCGAGAGAGTCACTGCACTCTGAACCCCAGTGTCGCATCTATACTAGGAGGAGTGAGACACGTTTCTTGGGTTCTTTGGATGCATAACGTTTTATTAATTCCCTTTCTGTCATTTTTATCTCCATTGCCTTCTCACTCCTTTTCTGCTTGCTCTCTTTTCAATCAGTTCAACAACTGATTGGTGTGCGTTGATAGCGTACAAAGAGCATTGTGCTGGGAGCCAAAGGGAGGTGAGAAAAGCAGATTGCTTACAGCTTGTTATGGGAAAGAAACATTCTTCCCTCTTTCCTGCTCTTCCTTTTTCTCTATTCTTCCTGCATTCTGCTTCCTCCCCTGTGCTCAAGGAACCCTCATCATTTCCACAGGTTTTCAAGGTTTCTGCTTTGGGAAGGCACTCAGCCCTGGGCCATTGAACGAGTTTAACATGCCTGTGGTCCTTTGCCTCTGGTCACCGAGGGCTCCTAACTGCTCGTCATAAATGCTTCAAGGGCTTTGTTCAGTGACGGTCAAGGGCTCCATGTACTTTGATACCTGATACTACATTTTTGGCTAACTCTATATGAGAGACTCTGAAACAAGAAGAGTAAAGTGACACTTGAAAAATAAATTTTAAATCTTCTAATCTTTTTGGTGACTTTAAAGGCTTAAAATAATCCTTTTTTTTGAGCAGTTTTAGAATCTAAGTATTTATTCTTCTAAAGGGACCATTTTCGACCTAATACACATTTCCCTTTAGGAACCATAATTGTCATTAGACACTCATGTATTCTTTCCCCCTTTCATCAGTTATATTTTCTCATTCCTCTTCTACACCCCACATGACAGGCACAGGTACTTATATTTTTTTCCCCTCGGCTACATAGTCTTACAATTAGTTTAGGTTACCTAGGACTTCTAGAGCTCTTTCTGTAAGAATCACCAATGAATTTTATGCTAAATATACGGTTATTTTCTTCAGAACATAATCAAAATATGTGTTTCTTCTTTACTGTCTCTTGTCCTTCTTTCCATAGCAGTAGGTATTTATCTATAATTATAAAACACACAAACAGAATTACTAGTGATTTTTGAACCCCAAAAGGACAAAGTAGAGGGAACTGGAAAGAAGGGACCAGAAACAGTCATGATTAGGTACCTACTTTGCGTCAGTGGATGAGTTAAGAACATTTAGATGATTGAATTAATCCTTTGAAGGATCCTATACAATTGAGACTTGCTGTTTTACAGATGTGGAAACTGAGGCTCAGAGGGGTTAAATAACTTGCCCAGTATTCCACAGCCTGTAAGGGTCAGGGCTAAGATTTGAATCCAATATGTGTGACTCTAAATTTCATGTTCTCTTTTCTGTACCTGGGCTGGAGAGGGCTCAGGTAGGCTCTAGAATGATGTATGAGATGAGTGCCCAGGTAGGGAAGGGCTAAAGGGAAGGCCTTAGTCTGTTCCCAGATTCACCCTTTGGCATGTGTGTCCTCCCCTGGTTCCTGCCCCAAATGTAGACTGTGTCTCCAAAATACGGATCCAGCCCTTTATAATATTTTAATGAGAGGGTCTTCTACTAATGGGACATCTCTCTTTTGTCTTCCACAGCAATTTTGCAGGCAGTAATAGCTGGTGATCTTATGAAGGTAAGATATCTTGCTACCAGAACTTTTGGTGATTCTTTAAGACTTTAAATCAACATCATTTCTCACCAAATTTTCATGATCCCGTATATCGTTTCTCATCCCCCTGGTACTAGCTGGTTAGAAGGAGGAAGGATGCTCTTTTTGAGAACTGAGAAGAGAGGATGAGAGGGGTCTTCACAGCATCTCTACATCTCCTAATAGCAAAGGGTCTGTGCAAAGGCACTGCGCTATTTGCCTTGACTAGATACAACCGATGCATGTCCCCAGGAGGCAGTCCTCACAGTGCTTGGAATTCCTCCTCTCTGAAGTTAAAAGATTTGAAGTTAAAAGATTTCTTTTTAGATAGGTCTTTAAATGAATGCATCTGTAGGAATAACCTGGACAATACCCAGAAATACATTCTCTAGGCAAGAGCCTACATCTTGTGACATTATTACAGTTTTGAACTTCGGGGATCACGGTGAATCAGAAGATGCTCTGATCTGCCTCGAGTATTTTGATTTGTGCTCATGTTTTCTGACGAATTTAGTTCAGAGGGAAGTTCAGAGGGAAGGAGGTGGTCACTGCTTGCCTCTAGAGTGAATGCGAATTCCAAAGTCAGACTGCGTGGGTTCAGATCTTGGCTCTGCCATTCACCGTATACGTGACTTTGTGTAACTACCTAATTCTCTCTGTGCCTCAGTTTCTTCATCTGTAAAATGGAATCACATTGCCCCTCTCTTTGCTTTATTGTGAGGATTGAATGTAAAATTCATGTAAAGCTCTTAAGACTGTTCCTGTTACACAGCAGGGACTCTAAAATGATAGCTGTTTTATTAATATAGTGTTAATCTGTGTTTCTTTAGTAGCTAAACATAGTGGGGAGGCAAATATTTGTTATAAAATATGATATAATCTATGAATACCCTAAAAGCTGTATTTGGCCCCAAGTTATTTTCAGGCGTCAGGACTTGGACTGCCCACATGTCCCTGTCTAACGCACACTGGCGTTGATCTGTTCTGTAATATCAACAGCTGCCCCTGGGCAGAGGCTCTGCCTTACTCATGGAGTATGGTGCCACTGCATATGGAGAAACCAGAAGCCTTAAAAGAAAGCTGAGAAGCACTGCCCTTGTATACAAGTTCTTCTGACGCACATCTGTTGAATAAACTGCAAAATCTCTGTGCTACATTTTTAACAGGTTACTAGCAGAAGACAAATAGTGAGAAGGTTGCCAGCATCTTGATAAACTGCCGTCTTTCGACACATAATCCTGGGAGTGGTGCCTGTGCCACTGTCCAGATCATAGCGTTACTAGGAATTGTTACCCACAAGAGGAAAGTGCTGTCTAAGCAGTGTGGGCGCCTATGCGTTCAGTGCCATTTCCCAGCAGTGGATTAAACCAATACTATCCTATACTCCCTGTAGGGCCTTATAGTGGATTCTGTGGGAAAGAGAGGCGTGAGTTAAGACCTGATTCCTGCCCTTGCAGAGCTTCTAAACCAGAAAATTTTGCAAACTGTTGTACATTTGAAACCTTTTCATTTTATTTTGTATATACTTTCAGTCTAGGCAACAGATTTTCCAGGTCCCTGGGTGTATTATCACACTTTTTTTTGGTACTTAGTAGAGAATTATTTGAGAGATGGGAAATCAGTATGTTCAGCTGGCTGTCTTATTTCATTCTCTGTTGTAATTATTTCCTAAATGACTAAGAAATGACTTAATAACACCTTATTTACTGAGAGGTCAAATATAAAGGCTTAGGGTTTTTCTCTTTCATTCTTTTCTTTCTGTCTTTTTTTTCTTTTCCTTCCCAAGTACTTTTTCCCCCTTTTCTTTTTTCTTCTCTATCGTCTTTCATTTTTCTATCCCATGTAGAAAGTACAATAAATATTAAATATTAAACTGCGTGTGTGTGTGTGTAAGGGATGGAGAGCGATAGAGAGAGAGAGAGAGGTTGGGTGGGGAGCGGGGGGTGGCAGTGCACCAGTGAGCTGAGAACAGAAAACCCAGGATCATCCCTGTGTGAAGGTTGTCATGAGTGGCTCCTATACACTGGGCTGCATAAAATGCCCGTTGACTAACTTAACATTCACAGTGTCTATAAACACCACTGAAAGGCAGAATCAGGGCAGCTGATGGATTGGGTCTCTGCTATTCTGTTGAGCCCAAATCCTCTGTGGATCTGCCCACAAAGAATGGAAGTGTCATTGTGAGACAAGACAGTTGAACAGAACAGGATTCTCTTCGCTTTTTGTGGAAGACAATTAGCTACTTCTTCCTGTTCCTTTGCTTCACAGTTTAGGCGTGAAAACCCCATATATTCCTTACTTCCATTCAGCGACTCCTTTTTGATCAATTTCCTAGGAAGTCTTTCCTGACTTTTTTCCATCCCCTACGAGTGCCCTGTGCTACCCTCCTCAGGTTCTTCTCCGTCTCTGTGCAATTCTTTACACAGCTGTCTCCCCCGTGGACGGCAAGGTCTTGGGGGCCAGTGGCCAAGTTGTATTCATCTTTGTTTCACTGGCATCTGGCACATGGCGGTTCTATGATTTGGAGTGAACGCGTGAACCGTGAGTTTACTCTTCAACCTTGTGAGTTGTTTGATTTTTTATAATGTGACATCTAACTTCTTGGTGGAAGACACATTCCTTTTGCTTATATCCTGCCGAGTTATCTGATTCTTATTTATCCTAAAACTATCTTTTAGAAGCTCCAGAAAGGCTCTTCTTGTTCTGATATACTGCAGTGTAGAGAACGGAGATCCAGTTACACTTTCTATAATGTTCAGTATTTCACAAACTTAGACTGTGTCCCCATTTAGCCACCTAATTCCCAGGCTGCAGTATCTGATTTCTCCAGGCTGTTCTCATGTTTGAAGTCTTTTAGGTTTCTACTACTACATTCTCTGAACCCTTCTGGTTCTTATCCCACGGATCATCTCAAGCCTTGTTGGGTATACGTTGGGCAGAAGGCATGCAGGCTCGGCCGCAGATCTGGATGAAGGAAGGAGACATACATGGGTGTGCCTGTGTCTGCCGTGTGCATATGTGTTGTGAGCGCATGCAGGAAGATGGGAAGCAGCTTCTGTACTCGGTAGCTAGGCTCATGAGAGATTGGAGAAAAAACTAAAGGACGGGGAAGGAGCTTAGCTACCAGACATCAAGCTATTCCTGCCTATAGACTTAATTGTTCTTTCAGTCAAGAGAACGCTGAGCTAGCATAGGGAATCTTTTATTCTTCTCTCCACCCTTTACTCCCTTGAGACAGAGACCAGCGCCCAGAAAAGTTAAAGACAAAAAACAGAAAAGGAACAAGTAATTTAGCATGTTTCCATTTCCTTAGGCTGTTCAGTACCCACATACCCTCTCTGGAGTTAGCTGAGACACTGGCCATCTATTTGAGTGATAACACAACCCAGGAATGGTTACTTCATCTCTTTGACTTTTCTCTGTGTCCTCTGAGGATGGAGACATTTGTGGTTTGTTACATTAGTTTTATTTTATCACCGGTTAGCTGTTTCCCTTGTTCTGGACTGTGCCTGAGCTGCTTTTCCTATGTCTCTTTTTCAGCTAATAGAAAGCTATAAAAATGGAGGCAGCCTGCTAATTCAGGGACCAGACCACTGTTCACTCCTTCACTACGCAGCTAAAACCGGCAACGGGGAGATTGTGAAATATATCCTTGACCACGGTGAGTAGGCACAGCAAACCAAGAATCATTTATCTATGAAACAGACTGAGTTTTCTAAGTTGACTTTCATCCAGGCTGTCCTCAGAATGGTAGAAATATTCTCCAACTTTAGCTGACTCTCCTTGCTTATTTGAGGGAGCTGGGATTCCAGATCCCTTACACGTGTAGGTCACCTTAACCAAGCCATTAACAGAAATAATTTTCATATCAAGGCCTTTGCAGGGTATCTGGGGGCTGATTAATTAAAAACTAGAAGACAAACCACATGTGGCCTCGGCATAGCGTGCTTTACTGTTTGGGGAAGAGCTTTCATGTTTTGGGAAGCTAACTAGTTGGGAGCAGGTACCTAATCCATATTTATAGCTGATCATTCTGAGAAGTAATGAGCATATTTTTTTCCCATCTTTCTAGTCCCCACCCCCCCCTTTTTTTTTTTCTGTTTGAGTCTCATTCATCTTTTCAACTCAAGTCACACTTTATTCTCTTTGAAAACATCTGGTACTCTCGTGTCCTCTGTGGCCGGCCATGTTCACCTCCTGGACGGTGTCCTAACTGGGTGTGTGATTTGGTGTTATAGATTAGGTACTTTAGCATGACCTCTGATAGTCCTTCAGAGGCACAAACACATGAGAGGAATATCAAATGTTGACCATACTTTCAGCTTCCCACGTTTATAGTGTTTCTAGGACAGAAAAATAGGAAAGAAGGGGAAGCATTTCCCTGGCGTGGCTGTTTCTGAGGGGTCTCTAGCTCTGCTAGATACAGGTACACAGAGATCCTGTAAGATTTTCTGTGAGCCCCAGCACTGAGCCTGTGGCCTACCCTCACTGTATCATATTTAGGTTGTAAACAGTAAGCATATTCACATTCACATTCCCTTTTTTTAAATTGAGGTATAGTTGATTTACAATGTGTTAGTTTCAGGTGTACAGCAAAGTGATTCATTTATACATATAAACACATATCTAGTCTTTTTCAGATTCTTTTCTGTTATAGGTTATTACAAGATAGAGTATAGTTCCCTGTGCTATACAGCAGGTCCTTATGGTTTATCTATTTTATATACAGTAGTGTATATCTGTTAATCCCAAACTCCCAATGGATCCCTCCCCTGCCCTTCCCCCTTTGGTAACCATAAGTTTGTTTTCTATGTCTGATTCACATTCCTTTTTATTCCTCTTTTTATGCAATTCAGCAAACATGTCTTATTCCATTCATTCATTCATTCATCAAATATTTGTGGAGTACTTCACAGGAACTACCTGTTATAGACCAGCACACACACAAAAACAAACTACAGTCATTGTTATCAAGCAGTTGCAGGCTAAAAAAATATATAAACATATGCATCATAAAATTTAAGGCAGTTGTATGTAGATGCCTTAAGTCCTATTGTAAAGCCACAAATAGATAACATAGCTACCACTTCTCAAGCACGGGTTATAGGCCATGTGCTTATACTGAGCACATCCTATCATTTAATCTTTACGAGGACCTTGTAAGGTAAGTATTAGACTGTCAGTCACATTAGACTCACCTTGCTTTGTCTTCAGTACCTTCTCACCACGGAGCGTTTGCTTGAACCCTTGGCCTGAATTACGGTGGAAAGAGTGGTTTAGGAAGAGGAAAAGGGAGTTAAAGTAGGACGGTCGTCCTTAGAGGCTTTCTTTCCCCCTGGAAGGCTAGGTTGGAGAATCCCAAGCCTGTCTGCCCGGGAAAGCCTAGATGTATTTCCGGTGCTGCGTCTGGGGTGTGCACATTCTGCCTCCTCCTCACCTGACCATTCTGCCCCCGGCAGTTAAAGCATTCCTCTCTGGGCAAGACTTGCGAAAGCATTGGTGGCGTCAATTCTGCTTGCCTCTCCCACCCCCGCCCCCCGCCCCCAACAACACACATCATAGGTGTTTCCTCTTCCTTATAGTGAATCTTCCAAAAGCTTGTGACAGGCAGAACCAAATATTAGAACCCAGCCCCACAGACAGTGCATAAAGGTCACAAAGCTTCCATGGTTATTCTTCTCTTAATAGAAAAGATCTCAGGATGTCCACTGTACAAAGTTCAGGTGAACTTTAGATATATGCTGTCACTTTGTTTGCCTCTAGCTCAGGTGCAAGTACTGCTGGTCGTCTTGATCATTCTCCATCCCTCCCTCCGAGTTTGCCCTTTACCCGATGAGATTGTTTGCCCGCATACCCACATACCACTCTAGAGTTAGGTGAGACACTGGCTGTCTATTTGAGGGATGAGGCAACTTAGGAATGCTCTCTCCTCCCCTCTCTACCTCTCCCGAAGAACAAGCATTCCCTTCTCTGGTTCTGCGATCCGCTCTGCATCAGTGATCTGCTGGTATCTCACTTGGTCTTAACTATGAGGCTGCAGGGAGCTGCCGTTTTGACTGAGTCTGTGTTTAAGATGGACTCTCACATGTTCGGGGCTCTCCGCTGAGACGGCTGGGACACCTGAGCCTTTCTACACCTGGACCTTCATCCCAGGCTTCTGCATAGCATGATGGTCCTCGGGTTCCTGGAGGGTGAGGATGGAAGCTTCCAGACATTCTGAGGCCAGGCTGGGGAAGTCTGCCTCATCTCTGTGGCATTCTGCCAGCTAAAACAAGTCACAGAGCCAGCCCCAACTCAAGGGGTGGGGAAATAGACCCCTCTGCTTTATAATTAATGGCCGTAGTTAATCTACCCCGCTCCCTTACTCTGTCTTCTTCAGTTGAAAATGATGACCCTCCCTTCTCAAAATCCTGAACTACTGACTCACTTGGAATTCCCTGGAGCTCTGCTTTTATATTTTCCTTTGGTTCAGGGTCCTAAGCCAAGGCTGCAATATTTAGCAAATAAAAATACAACAATAACTTTTTTTTTAAGCATTAAGTATGTCCCATGCAATATCTGGGACACAATCACACTAAAAACAAAACCAAAAATCCTCTTCTCAGCTGGGTCTCCCCAGGGACTTGAATGATGAGGCCTGAGATGATATAGCTCTAACACCAAGGATTTTCACCCCCCCCCCCAACTTCTCTTTCTACTCCCTTAAGACGGTCTTTAAAAGCCCCTGTAACTCAAGCTCATAAGACTTGGAGTTTCTAACCTCAGCCATAGATCAGTCCACACGCACTCTTTCTGGCATGAAATGCAGCTGGCAAATCTCTTAGTGCTCTGATCAAAGCCTGACATTCCAATACTAAACTAGTTTCTTTTTGATCCCAGGTGTCTTTTGCAAAGAGTGAATAATGTGATACAGCTCTCTGCGTCAAAACTGAAGGACACAAGGAATTTGTTAGGAACTTGGGGTAGGGGGAAGCTTAGTTTTCTAATTTTGGGGGTTAGCTTTTGTAAATTAGGTGGTTTAATATTTATACTAATGAGAAAACACTTGAGATTTTTGTAATCACCTCAACGTCACTCACAGGCAAACAGTTCTCATGGTCACTGCGTCTGCCTCACCAGGGTCTCCAGTTGGCCAGTAGATACATGGCGGGAAAGACTGGAGACCATGAAGCAAAATCCATCTCTTCTGTTTGAAAATAAAGTCTTACTATGACCTACATCCCAAGGATCACTGTATATTGATGGGTGGCAATTTTTAACCTCTTAGTACTGCAGTCAAATAATAGAAACTGAATTGCAGTTGATTTTTACTAAAAGTAGTATTTATCAACCTGATAGGCATGGTCAATTTCATTCTAACATCAACCTCATTATCTCTAGTTATTCAGGAACACGGATGTAAAATCTTTTGACGTTGTCAGCCTAATTCTCCATGTTCCTTAAGAGCTAAGCACTTTGGCTCAACCATTTCTGTTGTCATTTGTTTTAATATCTTTAGTTGCTGATAGAATTTTATAAACCTGTGCATTTAGAATTGGAAACTATCTTTGCAGAACTATTCATCTCATTTCAATTACAGAAACTCTTTTAAGTTATCGTGTTCTTGAAGTCGGGGACAGGAACACAGAAAACATGACCCTTTCTCTGTAATCATCTTCTTAATGTGATCTCTGCTCAGCGAATAGTCTTGCCTAATTTAATAATGATGATGACTCTGAAATTCCCCTGATCTGATGGAAAATATCCTTTGCGAAGATGCCTCTGTGAGGCTGGGATTCGGGGATTTCTACCAGACTGGCATCGTTGTTTGTAAATTAGCATTAGGTTTGCAGAGTGGGTGGGTCTGATCAGTTTGCATTCATGTAAATAAAAAAATAAATGAATACAAATTTTCCACTGTGCCAAAGGTCAAGAGATGCCCCTCCTAATAATCTCAGTTGCTGCAAACCTCTTGAAGTTTTAGTTTTGAAAATTTTATGTCTTCATATTATATAAATCCTAAAAACAGTTCAAAGACCTGCCTGTAAAGATGCCTGTAACGACAAGGGTCCTGAGAAATCAGTGGGCCTTTTTCAAGGCTCATGACTGATACGGCTTGTTTGCTTTCTGCATCCGTACTCCAGGGAGCCCCTCTCTCCCCTCTGCTTTGCCCTCTTCTCTACCGTTTATTGACGCTGAGCAGTGGGGTCCGCAATCAGGAGCACGCCGCCCTCTGAACGGGAGTCGTGAGAGATTAGTCATTCTCCCAGACACCGCATTCAGCAACCAAGTTCTCTTCTCAGAGCTCTTTTAAATCCAGGCTGAGGGGCTGGGGGGCACGGGACCTGTGGTTATTTCTGAAAAGCCACAGGAGGCTTGAATTTTTCTCTTCCCGCATCTTCTTTGGGACTTCTTCTCTCAAATACACGACACGCTGCTTTCCTTTATGAAAAACTGGAATTTGGGCATTGGGAGGGTTGAAAAGAGAACGGAGGAGGGAGCGAGCTTAAGAATTCCACAGGGACAGGGTGGAGAGAGGAGGATGTGGAGGGATTCCAGCTGAGAGACCCCCGCCCACCCCCGGCGGCGCCAGCTTTTCAACTCCTTTCAGCCATACTTCTGCCCACTCCCTCCTCCCCAGTGTTAGCCCTTCGAGAGACTTTTATGGTGTTTTAGTCTTTT